TGTGAATTAAACCCAGGCCTTTCACGTTAGGCACATACTCTCTTGCAGAGCTACATCCCCAGCCTAAAATCCACAGACGAGGGGTATTTTTCATAGTATTTCTCAGAGTGTGATTGGAGGTCAGAATGCCAAAGTGGGACTTAGTGAATGATGACTGTAAGTGCTGGAGATCCGCCCAGGGCCTGTGCATTCTCGGAAGCACTCTGCCATAGCTACATCCCCAGCCAACCATAATTATTAGTTCATTTGCCCTTTTATATTGTAAAGCCCAATTCATATGAAATGTATATAAATGTAAAACTATTTAATGAATTATTATCAAGTGGTTATGCAAGAAATCACCCTCAGGTCCAGGAATAAAATATTCCTACCCCAATGAGGATTTGCCTGTACCCTCTCCAAATTAGCCTGTGATGCTACTTTCTTACATCTTCATTGGGTTTGAGAGCAAGGGTCTGCTGGCCTTGTAAAGTGATTGTGAAGTTGCTCTCTTTCTATGTTCTCTGAAAAAATTTGAGACCATTTTATTTATCCTTTAAACATTTGGAAGAATGGAAGAATTCACCATGGAAGCCACCTAGATCTTAAGTTTACTTTGAAGGAGGGTTCTAAATTGTGGGGTCAATTCTTTAACAATTATAGGATTAATTCAGATTTTGTTTCTTTATGTGTCATTTTGGGTATGTTGTTTCTTGGGAAGTACAGCTACTTCATCTAGGTTGTCTAATAAGTTTACATAAATTTATTCATGATTCAGGGGGTTTTTTTGGTGATTTTTTTTTTTAGTTGTAGATGGACACATACCTTTGTTTATTTATTTTTTATGTGGTGTGGAGGATAGAACCCAGTGCCTCACACATGCTAGGTGAGCGCTCCATTACTGAGCCACAACCCCAGCCCCATAATATCTTTTTAACAGTTTTGCTGATATATGATCTCAAAAACATCTCCTCACTTTGATGTACAGTTGAGTGTGTTTTAAGTAAATTTGCATTGTATAACCATTGTTACAGTTCAGTTATAGAAGATTTCCATCACCGAAGAAAATTCTGAGTGACATTTGTGGCAGTTTCCACTCCTCCTCACAGCCTGAGGCAGCTGCTAATTTGCTTACTCTGTCG